CACTGCAGGAGGCACAGGTTTGATCCCTGGTCTGGGAACTAAGATCCTGCAAGTCGGGCAGTGTAGTCCCCAAAATATATATATATGAGGGTCTGGAGAACTAGGTACTCTTATGCGGTATTGGTGGGAATTCATATTGGTATAGTTCTCTTTTTTATTGTGTTAAAAAATACATAACAAAATTTACCGTTTTAACCCTTTTTAAATATAAGGTTCAGTGGCATCAAGTACATTCACATTGTTATGCGCCGTCACCATGATCATCTCCAGAGCTTTTTCATCGTTCCAAGCTGAAACTCTACACCCATTAAACACTGACTCCCCATCCCCTTTCCTCAGCCCCAGACAGCCACCATTCTACTTTCTGTCTCTATGAATTTGATTACTCTAAGGACCTCGTATAGGTGGAATCATAGAGTACTTGTCCTTTTTGTCTGGTTTATTTCACCAAGATGCATCCACATTGCATGTGTCAGAATTTCCATCCTTTTCAAGGCTGAGTAATATTTCGTTGCATGTGGTACCGTCTTTTTTTTTAATAAAGCATTTTATTTTTAAAATTTTATTTATTTATTTATTTATTTATTTATTTTTGGCTGTGTTGGGTCTTCGTTTCTGTGCGAGGGCTTTCTCTCGTTGTGTTGAGCGGGGGCCACTCTTCATCGCAGTGCACGGGCCTCTCACTATAGTGGCCTCTCTTGTTGCGGAGCACAGGCTCCAGACGCGCAGGCTCAGTAGTTGTGGCTCACGGGGCTAATTGCTCCGCGGCATGTGGGAACTTCCCAGACCAGGGCTCGAACCCGTGTCCCCTGCATTAGCAGGCAGATTCTCAACCACTGCGCCACCAGGGAAGCCCCCTGGGAAGCCCCCTGTCTTTTTGAAGGGCAACTTTGTAGTAATCACAGATTTCAGTGCCATATTCTTTGATACCATTCCACTTCCAGCTATATCCTGAAGAAATATTTGCACGTCTAAGATGAGACGTTCTCAAGGATATTCATTGGAGCATTGTTTTATTTATTTATTTATTTATTATTTTTCGGCCACCCACCACATAGCTTGTGGGATCTTAGTTCCTGACCAGGGATTGAACCCCTGCCCCTTTCAGTGGAAGCCTGGAGTCCTAACCACTGGACCGCCAGGGAAGTCCCTGCAGGGTTGTTTTAATAGCGAAAAAACCCCACAAATATCCATCAGTAAAGAGATGGGTAAAATATGGTCTATCTGTACTGTGAAATATATTGTAGCAATTCAGAAAGAAGCAGGGAGATCTGTATGTGCTGGCTTCAAGCTACATGAGTATGTTCTGTACAATTCCTTTTATGTATAATTTTTAAAGTATGTTTTTATATAATACATACATATGTAAACACACTACAACAACCTGGTGGTAAATACACCAAACCTTTACCAAGTGACACAGAGAAAGATAAGTGTGGAGAGAGATTCCGAGGAGGGACACTGAAAAAGGACTTTCAAGTTTTATTCTATACACACACACACACACACACACACACACACACACGTATCCATTGATTGAGTCTTGACAACTGGATCACACTCACTGTTATTTAAGTAAAAAATACTGAGAAAATAGAAAATATGCTAAATTGAGTATATTTGGATTGTAGGTTTAATGGGTGCTTTCTTTTTCTGTATTTCTCAAGTTAATTACATTGAGTATGTATTACGTTCATAATTAGGAAAGGAATAAATTTTTGTGTGTGTGTGTGGTACGCGGGCCTCTCACTCTTGTGGCCTCTCCCGTTGTGGAGCACAGGCATGGCTCACGGGCCCAGCCACTCCGTGGCATGTGGGATCTTCCCGGACCGGGGCACGAACCCGTGTCCCTTGCATCGGCAGGCGGACTCTCAACCACTGCGCCAACAGGGAAGCCCTAAAATTATTTTTTAATAGCGCTTTTTTAAACCATTTTAAAAATTGAAGTATAGTTAATTTACAATGTTGTTAGCTTCAGGTGTACAGCAAAATGATCCAGAATATATATGTTCTTTTTCAGATTCTTTTTCATTATAGGTTATTATAAGACATAGAATATAGTTCCTTGTGCTATACAGTAGGTCCTTGTTGTTTTTTTGTGTGTTTTTTGGCCATGCTGCCATGTGGGGTCTTTGTTCCCTGACCAGGGATCGAACCTTTGCCCCCTGCAGTGGAAGCGTGGAGTCCTAACCACTGGACCGCCAGTGAGTTCCCGGGTCCTTGTTTAGCAATAAAATTATTTTAAGGAAAACATGGTGTACCTACTATGAATTATTATGCAGACATTAGCAAGATTAAAGTAAATATATACATTGGGACGTGTATACACAAATGTGTCTGTAGTGGCATAGAAATCCAGAAGGATACCTACAACGTGTATCCTTACAGTGTCTTTATGAACCAATAAGTAATGTTCCCATTACCCCTGATATAATTTCATTCCACTCTTCTCCTTGCTAAGTTCCTGCTATACAGGCCATCATATTGATCTTGAATTTAAGCTTTCTTCTGCCGTAGGACCTTTGCACATGATGTTCCCTTTGCCTGGAACACCCTTCCCCCAGATATCATGAGGCAAGTCCCTCTTTTCCTCCAGACCTTTGCTCAAATGTCATATTATCTGTGGGGCTTTCCCTGATCACCCAGTGCCCTTTATTCTGCTTTATTATTATTTTTTTTACTATAGTACTTTCCATTATCTAAAATATGATGTATTTACGTATTTGTCTGTCTCCTCTCCTCTTTAATGTAAGTTCCGTGAGGGCAGACTTGGTCAGTTTTGTTCATTGCTACATTTCCAGTGCTAGAAACACAGTAGACGATAAATATTTGTTCAATGAATAAATGGATGGAAAAATAGTCTCTTTCAATGGTTTGCTCAGGGGCGTGTGAGAGAGGTAAGAGGGGATTTTTCACTTTTTACTGGATACTCCTATATGTCATTGGATGTGTTTTATCAAGAGCTTGGGGAAAAAAAAAAAAGAGCTTGTATCACTTTTGTATTTTAAAAATATCAGGTAACTTTTAAAAAAATCACATGTCCAAACTTTACTACTGTTTTGTCTGTTAACAGCTGATGAAGACAAGCCATAGGTACCAGCTGACTAAGAACAACTTACAGAAGAAACATTTAACCTGAAAAGTCTTATCCATTTCCCTGTGAGTTGGAAAAATGTTTTCCTTTATATTGTTCTCTTTTGTATTTGTGTTGCTCTATTTTTTTTTAAATTTTATTTATTTATTATTTATTTTTGGCTGCGTTGGGTCTTTGTTGCTGCGTGTGGGCTTTCTCTAGTTGCAGTGAGGGGGGCTACTCTTCGTTGTGGTGCGAGGGCTTCTCATTGCAGTGGCTTCTCTTGTTGCCGAGCACGGGCTCTAGGTGCACAGGCTTCAGTAGTTGTGGCACATGGGCTCAGTAGTTGTGGCACACAGGCTTAGGAGCTCTGCGGCATGTGGGATCTTCCTGGACCAGGGCTCGGACCTGTGTCCCCTGCATTGGCAGGCGGATTCTTAACCACTGTGCCACCAGGGAAGCCCCTGTGTTGCTCTGTTTTAGTAGCAGAATATCCAGACCCAGTTTGTGACACTCCCTGAGGCCAGCAATGCTTCTGCCCTGCAGAGGCCAGGAAACCAAGCAAAATCAGCAGTGCTGGGTAGGGAGATGGGAGGGGTCATGGCTCTAACAAGGTTTCTCAAAGTGTGAGGGATGTTACCCGATTGAAAAGTTAAGTGGAAAAAAAAAAAAGTGAAATTGGAACACACTGGGTTGAACCACATTAAACTGGTTCCTTTAAGGCAGAACTTCTTGGAGTCTTCAAGATGGTCTCCAAGGGGGAAGTAACAGACAACTTCCTGAGCTCCTGTGACCACAGCATCCTTTCACAGTGGTTGTAATATTTGGAGGACAGAGTTTGGGAAACACGGATATCAGAAACTTGTGAAGGTAAAGGTGTTCCTTAAGAGGAGTGCTGGTGTTAACATGGTTAGAGGAGTAGGTGCTAGAGTAAATTATAGGCGTTGGCAGACCTACTAGCTGGAGAGTGACACTCAGCTTCTGATGGCCACGAAAAAGAGGGGGAGATAAGGATGGTGATGGGATCAAGAAAGTATGAAAAAAGGAATATCTCGGGCTTCCCTGGTGGTGCAGTGGTTGAGGGTCCGCCTGCCGATGCAGGGGACGTGGGTTCGTGCTCCGGTCCTGGAGGATTCCGCATGCCGCGGAGCGGCTGGGCCCGTGAGCCATGGCCACTGAGCCTGCGCATCCAGAGCCTGTGCTCCGCAGCGGGAGGGGCCACGGCAGTGAGAGGCCCGCGTACCGCAAAAAAAAAAAAAAAAAAAGTTAAATCTCAAAACTTATTTCCCAGTTAGTATCGTTGCACTAAGTGCAAGATCCTTTCCCAAAAATCAACATTTATCTTAAAGCTTCCACTTGGTGTTGGCTGGGCCTGATTGAAAGAGCCATGACTTGCCCCTTCGGATTATTTGAGGAATGAGCAGAGTGTATCTAAAATGAAGCTTGTGATGGACTTCCCTGGTGGCGCAGTGGTTAAGAATCCACCTGCCAATGCAGGGGACAGTTCGAGCCCTGGTCCGGGAAGATCCCACATGCTGCAGAGTAACTAAGCCCGTGCGCCCCAACTACTGAAGCCCGCGCGCCTAGAGCCCATGCTCCACAACAAGAGAAGCCACCGCAATGAGAAGCCCGTGCACCAGAGCGAAGAGTAGCCCCCGCTCAATGCAACTAGAGAAAGCCCATGCACAACAATGAAGACCTAACGCAGCCAAAAATAAAAATAAATAAATAAAATTAAAAAAAAATAAAATGAAGCTTGTTGAGGTTCAGTAATCTTGTTGAGGTTTGGAAAGTCTCGTGAGATGTAGTTTCCATGGAAAATGAAACAGAGACTGGTGCAAAATAAGTCTACTCTGTGCAGTTTGGGAGTGCGGCCTGACTTCAGGGCGGAATGACTGGCCCTTGGACGGGGGCCTGCTTGTTGTGAACACTGCTGGTGCTGTGTTGTCAGTGACTTCAGTCCTCTTGAAAGCCTGGGGGTGGCGATAAAAAAGCTGAAATACATCTCCCTTCACAATCCCCCCTTTCCTCTCCTGAAGCCACACACACGGGCCCACCCATCTGCGTGCTTGTGCACATGCGCACACCTTTTTCTCTAGCATTTTTCACTGCCTTGAATGGTGTTCTATGAGTTCCTATCTCCTTCATTCTGTTGAACTACTGCATTATCATCATTTAACCACTCCCCTTTGATGGGCGATTAGCTTATTCCCAATTTTGTCATTACAGTAGCGTTGTCAGCACTAGGCAAGTTTTTCCATTGTTTTAAGTACTTCACATGTGATCCTCATAACTACTCTGATAGGTATAACTACCCCATTTTTATAGGTAAGGAATCTGATGTACTGACAGGATAAATGAGTTGCCCAAGGTTACAAGCCAGTAAGTGGTGCAGCCACATATGAACTCAAGTAGTCCTGTCTCCAGAGCAACACTCTGAACCATTACATTAGACGTTTTTACACTGAGGGCATATGATCTTTTAAATTGAATAGACCTAATTTTATGTAAAATCCACTGTGCCGTTTTCATATTTTTCATTTCACTGAGAACTGGCAAAAACTTATCTTGGAGTGGCAGCAGGCTACAGACCAGCCCCTGGGACCACTGCTTTCAGTATACCAAGCAAGTATTCTTTTAACACATCTTTGCACACACGTGTGAGCATTCTTTCAGGAAAGGGAACAAGAAATATATTAACAGAAACTCTTTTATCCACTTCCTAAGTAAAAGGGAAACAGTGAAGATTACAAGTGGGCGTGGTTGAGTGGCAGCTTGTGCAAACTCTGGCCTCTCAGGGCACGTAATGATGTACAGTACAAGCAGTTCTGGTCAACACAGGGAATCTGCTTTCCTGAGATAGCACAGGTCCAAGATTACGTTTAAAATAATTTGCAAGACTGACCCACATATACTTTGGACACCAGCCTAACAAGTCACAAAGGTCCCATAAGCATCCGTCTGTGTTATTGTTTCTGAGGTTTTATAAGGGGTGGAGAGGTCCAGGGAGACATTCCCTTAAAGGAAGAGCAGGTGAAGTATTTGCACCATGGGCTGTAACGGAATATACATGTATCTTCCTTCCCATGGGCTCTTTAACATTTGGACCAACACTGGACTTGAGAACTATATTCCTGACAGTTGGATGAGAAGCTAACTGGACAAGGAACGTTGAGATGAGTAGGTGATAGGACTGAGAACTCTCTTGGCTTGAGATACGTGAACAAATCTTTATGAACTCTCCCATCCCTTTCTAGGTCATCCCAAAGTTTCACTCCTAATCACATCTCCCCACTGCATTGCTGACCCCTCAGTCAGCAGGAGTCAGCTGGAACCACAAACCACAATTGGCCTGTTTAATTCAGTGTAGAGCAAGGTTTGAGGCCAAGAGTGAAAAACCGACTTCCAAAACCAACTGATAGCACAGGTTGTTGAAGACCAACGCATTTAGAGAGACTTTTCCTTGCTCAGACTTCAGGTGTGTAGTGACTTTCCTGAGATCCACAGATTTCAGGTGTGTAAAGTGAGTTTGCTGAGATCCATGAATACCTTAAGGGATCCCTACAGATAGGAAGAGATCCTGAGAGAATTAGGGCAACAGCTGAAACCTTACTCAAGGGATTCACAGGACTGCAGACCTGCGAGCCTGTCAAGTCAGTGATTTGGG